GATCCTCAGGTCAGGCCTGTGCCTCAGGTCAGCAGTCCCAGCTACTGGGGTGGCTAAAGTAAGAGAACCACAAATTAAAATCTTTTTTAGGGCATAAAGTATGTTCATAGTCATTTCTAAACAACTTAGTGAGACTGTCTCAAAATACAAAGTTCCAAAGCAGAGTTGGGGAGACAGCTGAATTAGTAAGATGCTTGTTGGGGAAATATAAGGACCAGTGTGCATCCCTAGCACTCATATAAAAGAATGTGCCCACTGGTAATCCAGCACCAAGGAGATGGAGACGGGATGCCTGGGGCTTCGTGGCCAGACAACCCTAGCCAATTGGTGAGCTCCAGGTTCAGTGAGAGATCCTGTCTCAAAATACAAGATGGAGAGTGGTAGAAAACCAAACCAACCAACCAACCAAACCAACAACTGACACTGACCTCTGGACCACACATACACACACACACACACAAATGTAACACACATACATATATACCACGCATACACAAAAACACAACAAGAAAAAAAAAAAGGTTATAATACAGTTCAATGGTGGAACACTTGCCTAACACACACACAAAACCTTGTCTTCAATCCTCAGGATTGTAAATGAGTAAAAACAAAACAAAGCTGACAAGATCCTCATATTCAGATACATATTTAAGTTTTAGAGAAATAACCATAGTGATGGCAATGCATTATTAAAAGTCAAGACTTAGACAGGCGGTGGTGGCTTTAATCCCAGTCTGGTGTACAGAGTGAGTTTCAGGATAGCTAGGGCTACACAGAGAAACCCTGTCTCAATAACCAAAAGAACAAAACACCACCTACTGCAAAGACAACTGGCAAGACTGGGGTTCTCCAAAATAGGGGTGCTCTCCTGCCACCCCTTTACTCTGAATCTTGAAAATCTAGCAGAACCAACGCCTGGCTCATCTTTTCCCAGTCCAAAAAAAAAAAAAAGGTGAACAAATAATATCATGAAATAAAGCAGTTATGCCAGAGAAATTACAATGGTGTTAACACAGGTGAAGAGATGGCTGGTGCAAGGCTAAGTGTCTTTAATCTAAAAATAAACCGCACAAATTAAAAACATTAGATCACTGCCCAAAGGATGCTAATGGTGTTTCATAGCTGTTAACAAGCATGGAGTCTGCAGCTCAAATCTGAACCTCACTACCCCAAGGCAGTGCAGTGTCATGAGAGCAGTCTCCATGGACCTGGCATGCCTTGGCATTCCCAGGCCCCCTCACACAGTTCAGGAGTTCTCATGTTCAAATCACCAAACAATTCTCAAAACTCCAGAGAGCATGGCACTTCCCATCAATTTTCTTATTAAAGGCACACATTCAGACCAGCCAAAATAAGCCTAGAGGTAGGCTTGGGAGAGGAGGGTTGTGAGACACCCCTATGATTTAGGAAATTTTAAGGATTTAAAGGCTCCCTGCCAGGCACTGAGGATAATGGCCAATCCAATTCCTTAATACACAAGGTCTTAATGAGAATTCTGCCCTGCCTGGCTTACCTACAGGTTAAATCTTACTAACACGATTTACAGTTCTTGGGAAGATTCTGCTGTTATTTTTCTGTATGAAGCCAAAAGGACATAAGAGCGAAAGTTTCAATTTTCCAGTATGTCTTTGGTTACTCTGACACATATTTATTGACTGCCTATTTAAGACAAAGACATAATGTGAACACAGTTAAAGAAATAATCAGCATCCACATCCAGCTTAAAACAAATAGATCTACAAGTAAATGCCAAAATGATCCTGGAATATTTGTTGTATAAATTCTTTACTCAACACATAATCAGTTACTGTCTTTATCAGATTGGGTTTATCAGAAACCTTCCCTGCCAATTCTGGAGGTTGAAGCACAAGTGCTTACCATCGCAGCAGCTCAAGACAGCACAATGAAGTGTAGACTCCCATTAGGGTAAGGGAACTATGAAATAGCCACCGCAGTATGTGATGAATAAGATCCAAGCACAACTCCTTACCGGAAACACTTCCATGATCGAAGGCTCTGCTGGATCCACACAGCAAAGAACAGGTGAAGTATCCATTAGGATATAATAACCACAACAAAATACGACATCACCAAAGGCATAAACCACAGGATTTTAATAATATTGATTATGCTGAAAATGAAGAGAAACAGCTTTTACACACATATGCACTCATGTGTGAATGTGGATCCACACACACACACACAGAGAGAGAGAGACAGACAGAGTGAGTAGATGAATATAGCAATTACAAAAGTCAATGCTGGAAGGCATTAAACCTGACTCAAAACTACCCAAGTAATATGGCTATGATCTGAATGTTTATGTATCCTATATTCACTTGACTTGTAAAGATCTGAAGTCACAAGGGTAGAGACCTCTTGATGGGATTAGAACTGAACACCTCAGGACACAGCAAGCAGATGCCATCTAGAAAGTAGGGGGCAGCTGTTACAGGTTTGCTAGCACCATGAGTGTGGACTTAGTAGTAACCAGAACTACCAGAAAGAAATCTCAGTATATCTAAGCTACCGAGACTATCAAGATTTTATTAGAGTCTGAGAAAAAACCCTGTCCAGGTCTGCCAAATCTACCCAGGCTTTAAGTGCATCTCGTACCCCACTTTCATCTCAAACCTTCAAATCACATTTCACTCTGTTTTTTTTTTTTTTTTTTTTTTTTTTGGTGTTTTTTTGAGACAGGGTTTCTCTGTAGCTTTGGAGGCTGTCCTGGAACTAGCTCTTTTAGACCCAGGCTGGTCTCTTGAACTCACAGAGATCTGACTGCCTCTGCCTCCTAAGTGCTGGGATTAAAGGTGTGTGCCACCACTGCCCGGCTCATTTCATCCTTATATGAAGAGTTAGGATAATTTTATATAACTTAAGATGTTATCTTCTGCCCTTCGTTTAAAATCCAAATTAAAGCCAAACATGGTGGCACACTGTGACCCTAGCACATTTCCTTTAAGCCCTTCACCCTGTGTACACAGACAAGGATGCTTTCAGAATATTTTCACATTATGAGTGAAAAGCCCAGGTTTTAAAGTGCACGTTAAGCCATCCCATCTCCATTTTCTTCAATAACAAATTTTATTAAAACATCATTAAAAAAAATCACAGGATAATTTTATTTATAAATGAATGCTATTTTCTCTAGACTTTAAATCATTGGTCCACTCTTATAACAGAGAAGCAATTTAAATAACACCACCAAAACGGAATGGAAACAAAATAGTGCCCTACTACACAGCCCGAGCTGCATGTTGGAGGGATTCCCAATCAGTCTTGCAACACGGTCATTTCCAGTGAAATGTTCAGGACACTGCTAGGAAGTGCTTTCCTTCATACTGCCTTTATTGAAACATGTCCTGGGTGTGGCTTTCGACTGTTTCGGAGCTGGTCAAGTGTATGTTCTGTAGAGGCTGACATCACAAACAGCTGCTCACACAACAGCAGCCTTCAGATCCTTTGGTTTTCATCACAATCCTTTGGAAAGTCAATTGATGAATGATTATTCCCTTAGAATTCTATTTTAAATAGACTGCCTCAGTGCCTACACAGTCTGTGCCAACGTCCTTGCCTTTTTCACATCCATGGCTTTGTTTATCAGATTGTACACCGATGGCAATCTTATTTTATCCATATTTTTGCTGTAAACATTGAGAAATATGCCAAGCACAACTAACAAACCAGACCATACATACCTAAAAGAAATGAAAAAGTAGGTATTAAAATTAACAAGTTAAAATTTCACTGTTAATTATGACATGTGGTAGTCAGTTCATAATAACTTCAAATAAAAACTTGCTATTAGCTGGGCAGTGGTGGTGCACAGCTTTAATCCTAGCACTTGGGAGGCAGAGGCAGGCAGATCTCTCTGTTTGAGGCCAGTCTGCCCTGTCTCAAAAACAAAACAAAACAACAACAAGAACCAAAAACGAAAACAAAAACCCCAACCAACCAAACCCACAAAACTTGCTATTAGAGATCTAAAATAGTAGTACTAGAATCATGTGTTAAATGGAGCAGACAGTGGCTCACAAAGCTGGTTCCAGTTTGCTTTCCATTACTACTGTACCGACCATGACCAAAAGCAACTTGAGGAAGAATGGTTTTCTTTGGCTTGCACATCCTGAGTCCCATTTCACAGAGGGAAGCCAAGGCAGGAATATTCAAGGCAGGAGCAAAGCAGAGACCATCGGAGACACTGCTTACCTCTTGCTCCTCCTGGCTTGCAGTTTGCTTTATCATATACACCCCACGACCTTCTGTCCAGGGATGGCAATTCCCAGTGAGGTGAACCCTCACACATCAATCATCAGTCAAGAAGATGCCCCCAGGCTTGCCTACAGACTCGGGTGGAGGTATTTTCTCAATTTAAATTCACTCTTATAAGCTGACCCCAGATTGTGTCCAGTTGAAAAAATATATATAAGCAGCCAAATGCCCCACCCCAGCTAAGGTATTGGCAATTAAAGGATGCTGAGGGAGTGTCAATATTCTTCAGGGATGTAGTCCCTGGTAGGTTGCTTATGCTTCCCCATGGATGGCCCCATACTCATGTACATACTAGCAGAACCAAGTAAACTCAGTAGTTAACAAAACAGAGTACGTGAAGTTGGGATAGAAATGGGGGGGTGTGCAGTAGATAGATTTGATCAAAACACATTGTATACATGTATAAAGCCTCACAAACATTTATGCTGAACATATTCAGAAAAAGTTACACAAAGTGAGAGTAATTTAAACTTCAGGGCTACTAGCACATTCAAAGTCTAACCCATACCAAAAGACTTAAGATTATACTTAAAATGCCAGATTCCTATCTATCAAAGGCTATTTCATACATTCAACCCAGCACTCCACCCACCTAGTTGTCCCAGATAAGTAGAACACAGATGATAAGAAAGGACACATTTTTCAGGAAGCAGAGGACCATCATAATTCTATTACTATAATATACAATCACAAGTATAAAGAAATCTATAGACAACAACCTGTAATATAGTGATGGAAATTTACAATTTTATTTAAAATTATGTACCTGTAAACTAGGTTTGAAATTCCAATTCCTGACCTACAATGTTTAAACAAACAGCTTTCAAACACATGACAAACAGCAAAAAGACTGTTGAACACTTTCATAAGAAGCCACAAACTAAGCTGGCGGTGGTGGCGGTGCGTGCCTTTAATCCCAGCACTCAGGAGACAGAGGTTCCAGGCCAGCCTCCAAAGCCAGAGAAAATCTGTCTCAAAACAAAACAAAACAAAAAAACAAAAAAAACAAAGCAAAGCCCCCACAAAAAACCAAAAAACAAACAAAAAAAGAAGCCACAAACTAAATCACTAGGATACATTTACAAAATACTTTAATATTGTTTATCATCATGGAAAGAGGCCATAAAGGTTTTACAAGAAGGAATTTTAAACATAAAATTTATATATTTGAAAGAAAGTAAAATCCTTTACTCAACAAATGCACACCACTTGTACTCACTCCCATCAGAAACATGCACCAACAGTCCTCTATACTGCACTCACCTCCCTCCATCACAGGGCACACACTCCACTAGCAGTCACTCACACTGGCACATACATTTAACTCAGTCAGTGATTCTGCATCACATGTCCTTTCTTATTATTTTTTTTGATTTTATTTATTTATTATATATACAACATTCTGCTTTCATGTATGTCTGCACACCAGAAGAGGGCACCAGATCTTGTAACGGATGGTTGTGAGCCACCATGTGGTTACTGGAAATTGAACTCAGGATCTCTGGAAGAGCAGTCAGTACTCTTAACCTCTGAGCCATCTCTCCAGCCCCCATATGTTCCTTTCTTACACAATCACATTGCAGTAAGACCACATTTCCACTGGGCTTAACTGGGCAATTTAAGTATACAAAATGACATTCAAAGTAACAAATTATAAAATTCTTAAAATAGCAGAAGACACTTAATAGATAGGATGAAAAGGATCCTGTGTAGAGGACTATAGGTTAACAAACATTAACATATAAGTTAGCACAAAGTAAAAGTTAGAAAATAATTCTGTTTAAGACAAAATATGAAATACAGTATCTAAATTTTGAGAAACTAGAATTAAAAAGTACTTACTGAAATGTGAATGGTTTAGCAAAGAATATAAACGAAAGGACTATGGTCATTGCTTTTCTTCCTGTTGTCACTGCAGGGGGAAAAAGATTTAGATGCACCTTACTATCTTGGCAATATCTGTAAATCATTTATTCTACAAATATGTATATGCCAGAACCTCTGAGGTGCCAGAGACAATGCCACTGACCAACCAACAGCCAACCACATTCATGCTGCTGATGGTTCTGTAGAGAAGGCGCATGGTCCAGCAGCGTGTCTAAGTACAGCTGTAGTAAGTATTCATCAGCGGTCACGGCACGCTGGAGCCACAAAGAAAGGCAGAGCAAGGATTATCCCTTAAAAACAGTGAGAGGTTCACTAGTGTCTGGGATTTCTGTTTGTTTTTGAGACAGGTCTTGCCGTGTCTTTCTCATCCTGCTCCAGCCTCCAATGCACTGAGATTCCAGGCATGCGCCCCACACTGGCTTACAGTGTTTCCTCATGGTGACCTCTGGGAATGGACAGTGAAAGTCCTGCTCTTCAACATCTGTCCTCACACTTCCTCCTCCTCTGGGTATCACACTTGGAACTCTGCTGTAAGGCCCAAGCAGAGGAGCAGCCACACGGCTCCATTCAGGTCTCTCCCCTCACACAGCTTCACTCAGTTCCATCCCTGCTCTCCTGCATCTCACTAGACTACTGCTCCGGGCACTTAACATCAAGTGTGAATGAGTAACTGAGGAACTTGCTCTGGAAACACAAGTCATGGCCTGATCTGCAATGATGGTTTTTAGGATACCTATTTGAGCTGGGCATATGTTCCTGCCTCCCCTGCATTTAGGTGTGGTCATATGTCTCAGGATCTGGCCAGAAAAATGTGTTGTTTTGAATAGTACAGCATCACAGGAGGTTTCCACCAGAGGAGGTCATGTCTTTCCTCTTCCTGGACTCTATCCTGCTGCCCAGCACAGCAGGAGGATGCAATGGTAGGGAGGGTACTGAGGACCATGCAGTCTCTCACCATGCCAACCAAGGAAGCATAGTGAAGACAGCTGGTGTGGACCCAGACAGCTTTGCTGAGAATCCTGATTCTAGCTGCTTGTCACCCAAGCCACTTAACCTTTCCACACTCATGTCTTTCTGAGTGTAACTTAGGAAACCAATGGTGTCAGCTAGTTAGGATTGAGATGAGACTTATATCTGGAAGGGTGACTAGTACACAGGAAGGGCTCTGTGTGAGCTCCTATAATGCCTACCTCTGCCTTTTATTTGACAGTGAAAAAATTTCTGCCTATGTCATGGAGGCAAGCGCGCATTTACAGCTCTGGAAAGCGATGCAGTTCACACAGTCATTGGCTCCCCTCACTCTGCTGTGCATTTCTTCAAACACATCAAATGCAGCCTGCAGTCCTCTACAGTGCCAGGCACAGGCACAGACACACCACCACTGGGCAAGAGAGAAACTGATCTGGGGCTGCTGTTAACAAACATTCAAGTGAAAGGCTTGCAAACTATAAAATGCACCTGCCATATTTTAAGTACAAGGAGACTGGAATTTCAGTAATCAATTAAAAGTATATGAAGGTAGTGTTTTCCCTGAAGGGGTTTCATTCCATCATAGTTTCACAGCAAATTTTTCTAATGTATTTAATGTTTTCAATGAAAATGTATATGTTTGACACAAAAATGAAGCCTTCAGGGCTGGGATGCAGCTCAGTGGTAGAGTGCGTGCCCAGCATGCTGAGGGCCAAGGGTCTATCCTCAGCACTGCACAAAGGGAAAAACAAAAATGAAATCTCCAAAACAAGAAAGTAAGTCCAAACACTGTTTCCTTCAGAACAAAACAAGTTACCAAAGCATAAGATGGAGAGCAGTACTCATTCTAGGGAAGAGGTCAGACTCTTGTGTTTGTGAAACAGCATCAGAAACACAGCTAGTGCTTACTTCCCAATCTTCAGCACTTTTCCTCCTACCTGTTACAGCAAGAAGAGCACCAAAGATTTTAATCAGGGCCAGAACAAATGAGATTCCAAAGTATCCAGTGAGGGAAAAGAGGAAGGCGTAGCCATAGGTTCGAACAGGGTTCTGCAAGAGTGAATGGCCCGTTACAGAGATACAAAGCTACCCCTCTACCCTCCCCAGGAGCCCACCTGTTAGACACAAAGCCAGCCCTGAGGGAGCCCATGGAATCAAGCCACAGATGTGAGTTGGCCTCTTGAGCAATAGTAAGTTATTCCACAATGCTGTCAAGCAGGCAATATTTAGCTTTTTTTTTAATGGGAAAATATTGATGAAATGAAAAACCCTTGATTTGTACATTATAAACTTCTCAAAAATTAACTCATAGGGTAGAGAATGGACAAAAAACTAAATATCAATTATTTCTGAGATCTTTCATTTCTGATATGCAATGTTGTGTTCTGAAAGTTACCAAATTATATCAACAATAGCTTTTTTTTTGAACTAGGCAAAAATAGTACAGAGAAAATTATTAAATGTAAGGTGTTTATTTTTAAAAATGTGATAGTGCTTACCTTTGAACAAAATGCCACTGCAGGGCCTAGTCCACTAGTGCACGACAATCCCAACAAAATGTATACAAAACCGATCGAGTATGAATACAAAACCTATGGGAGGCAGAAGTAAAGCAGAAAAATGACTGTCACACCAAAAGGGGAAACAGAAGGGACTGGATACAAAGAACAATTAATCTACTCAATCAATGCTGCAAAAGGAAACATTTTTAAAGCAACATTATCATTGTCCTACGGCTGAATTTTCTAGAAATAATGGCTGATTCTAGTGACCTATGACCTATGACTTAACACATACATACAGACACACACACACACACACACACACACACACACACACACACACACGCGCGCGCGCGCGAGTATACATACAGCATTATGTAACAAATATTCATGGTCATATGGAACCTTCCATATATGTTTACATTTTACTCATTTCTGGATTAATTGCTAAATTTAAGTAGATTTTAATTTTGTTACTCTAAAAGCATAAATATGAAAAAATCATTAGAGCTACTTATAAGACATAAAAAATGTCCTGAACCCTGGAGTTTGCAGAGGATATGAAAATCTCCACTGCTTAATTTCCCCACTCCCTTTTTACTCCAGTTTATTAGTTCTTCATCCAGGGTTCCTCCAGGTTCTAAGTGAAAAGCCTGCTACAGGTTAGCTACACTGCCCCGTATGTGTAGTCTCACAGATAACCTAATTTTAATCCCATACTTATCACCCAGCTGAAGCCAGAGGTTGTAATTTGTCCTAAAGGAGGACTACAGAGTAACCTAGGATTTGCATCGAGGCTTCAGTTTAAAGCCTGCCACCCTGTGTGCTACCCTGAGTTTCCAGGTGACTTGCATACTCTCAGTTGTGAGGCCACCCTTAACCCAGCCATGAAGAGTAGTGACAACGATCAAGCAAAGATCTGCCAAGGTTCAAGTTTCTGCTACTGAGATGTCACTTAAGATGCCCCATGCTGTGCCCAGACAGCAACAGGAAACACATCCCTTTATGTATTCAATGCAGTGTCTATCTGAACAGCAAAGCAAGTGCATTCTCAATGTCTGTCTGTCTGTATCTCATCTCTCTCTCCTCTCTCTCTCTCTCTCTCTCTCTCTCTCTCTCTCTCTCTCTCTCACACACACACTCACAACTATACAATTAAAAATAAAATTAAAATATTTTAAAGAGACACTTGAATAAAAGACACTTGAATAAAAGGAAAGCCGTATCTTGGTCTTAGACTGAAAGAATCAAGTGTACAGATGCCATGCTCTCAAATGAACATATAATTCAATGCTACATCAGTCACAATCCTGAGGGTGGTTCTAGTTTATGTGAGGGTATGAGCACCCAGTAACTGCTGGTAGTGAAACTCTCTTGAAAAGGAACAAACATGGCTCGTGGCTAGTCCTAACGACGAGGAATGAATGAAGCTGTTCAAGGTCCTATGGGCTGAGGCAGAAATTGATTCTAGAGAACTCAATTCTGACCCCTGTGTGAAGATGTGAGATAAAGAAGGCTTCTAAAATAAGTGGGAAGGGTGGGGTGTTCAGTAAACAGAATTGGGTTGTAGCATGATTTATTTAACAAGAAAAGGGAAATAATAAAACTACTAGGCAACATGGGTGAAAATCTTGAGTTGGAAAAGCCTTTAGACACATAGCCAGAAGCCATCAATAAAAAGAGAAGTTGGACCAATAAGAATTATAAATTTCCACACTGAGAGTAACACAAAGAGAAATACAAACAGAAGGAAAACAATGTCACAAAGAGGTTTCTTTTAACTGATAAAAGATTACAGAAACCAACGAGAAAAACATTGACCAGTTATACAAGCTGTTAGCAGTGACAGGCTCTCTTCCAACTTTCCCCAGTACTGTTAGCATTACATCCTGAAAATGATAGAGTGGACTGAAATGCACATAAAGTCTTGACACTGCAGCTATTTCATAAAATCAGCCATGCATCCTACAGACACACAGGAAACACTGGGGTGCTCACCATCTCAGAGTTGGAAGCACTGTGTAGTTTCATAGCTTTCTCCTGAACGTTCCCAATGACAGCATCTGCACACAGAGCCAGGGAGATGAGCATCACACCTTCAAGGAATAAATAAGAGAATGATCCTCTTTAAGCCAATGAACTGTAAAAGCAAGTCTGACTAGAAGTTTACCTGGGCTAAAAATCAAAAGCAGATTGTCAATCCCATTTGGCTGGAATGCAGAATATTCTGATCTATAACTTGTTTTGTAAGCACGTAGGTGATGATACTAACATAAAAAGACAGACACTAATAAACTAATGCTACCATCAGAATCATACTTCACCATCATGTCAAATCAAGTTCTACTTTTAACTTGGATCATATGATGGAAGGAACACATGCAGAAACTCCAAGAAGATCTATTGGGATTGGTAGCCACACAAAACATTTGAGAGGAAATACAAACATTGAGAGGAAAATCATACACATAAAATGTCTTCTAAGAGATTCAATTTAAAAGGAACACATGGGACATTGCCAAGGTCATTTCTGTGGCATGGCTCCTGACTGGAAAAATACACAGTCTCCTCTATAAACCACACTTTGCAGGTTGTGTCTGTTGAAAAGTGCAGCTTAGGATCTTGGGAAACTGGAATGCCCAACCCTTTTGTAGTTTTACAACCCTTCATTTTCATACTGTCCTAGATGCACCTAAAATAATAGTGCCTTTGTTAGCTTGCCAGCCAAACTGTCTCAGTGACTCTTCACATAAGCAGCCTCCCTTTCATGTCCATGAGGATAGCGTGAACAGTATTACGTTGTCACACACTGCAGTGATAGGTCCAGTGACATAGTCTGAGTGACAGTACTCACTCCTAGGAAGCGGCATGCAGGTGTGCATAAGAACAGGTTGCTTCCGAGTTTCACATACAGAGGAAAAGTTGTCACAGTTCCATCTGTGGGTTTCATGGGGCTCGAAGGCTTTCTTGTCTCAACCTTCTAAATGCTGTAACCTTTCATACAGTTCCTTATGTGGCTACTCCAAACCATTAAACCATTTCCTTACTACTTTATAACTATAATTTTGCTACTGTTATGAATTATATGTAAATATCCAAATGTAGGCTACCTGATATGTGACCCCTGTGGTAGGAAGGGTCGGTAGATACCCTAAGGGGTCATGACCCAGGTTGAGAACTACTGCTCTAAAAACAAAGTGGGGACCAGTGTTCACTAGTTTCTCTCGAGGAGTGTCTGGGTTCTAATTCTTTCAAAATGTGCCCACTGAACTCAGGAAACAAGAAGGTCCAGGTGTCTGTCCTTGGGCACTCCTTCCCTGGCGTGTCCCTGTTGCCCTCCCTGTCTGCATGTTCTCAGCCCTTCTTCCTCAGGTGATGTCACACAAAGTAAGGCAAAAGCGACTAACCCTTGGTTCCCTTTACCCAAGAGTGGGTGGAATTTGTTCTGGAGAATTCTGATCTCTTCTTTCAGACAAAGGCCATCTTTCCTACTTATTAAACAGCATTGCAAAGGAGTGAGGAAGGTCTGTCTTGATCTTTTACAGGAGTTTCACAAGTGGAGAAACTGCTTTTCTGAACCTAATGATTTGGAGCAGCACCCATAGCCACTCTCCGTGTTATCTTTCTACACCTGAGTGCTGCTTTCAACACCTTGCTATTTCCAGAGAATCTTCTTAGGTCTAGCTACATGCAAATATGCACACATACACACTGTTAAGTCAGGGGCATGAATGGGTCACCAAGGAGAAACAGAAACATTGTACATCTGGGACTCTAAAACAGAATGGTTGACTCCATTGTTTTCCTTACAGGTTAATTTTAAACAGGAGGAGGATACAGTGTGTAAACAGAATGAAATACATAGCTGTAAATCATATCAAAGCACACTGCTAGCCTGGACACAGGTTAGGTAAAGACAAGCTTCAACAGCATGGAAAATTGTTCCCACATCCTCCACCATCTCCTCTCAGCAGCTCTGTATGAGGCAAAGTGTTCTCTCCATCCTCCGGGAGAGCGTACAGGGCCTACAATTCACTCATTCTTAGTTATATTTTTTACCAAATTTAAATTCACTGCAAATCTGTGTCTTCTCTAACTTGGTTTTTATAACTACTTCAAAGAGCCAATGATGTCTGTTTTCAGTATGTCCTTGATGTGAAAGTCTGTGATGTAAAAAAATGAAGATTTCCTGAAAATTCTTGACCCTGATGGCAACAGCTGCTACTATACACATTCTCTGAAATTTAGCAGCCAGGTTTCGGGGAAGCTGAGGCAGCGAGTTCCCTCAGGGCTGTAGCTGTGAGAGGGCTGCCCCAAGAGGCCCATCTGATTCTACTTAAACACACTAGCTCAGGCTGGTTAACTAGGGCCATTAAGACTGACTGAAAACTGGTCTGATTCTTAAGAACAATTGTGAAGCTAATGTCACCAATACGTTCATTATAGAAATGACTATTTTATACATTGTGCTTGCTGGTATTCCAATATTGCCTTTCCCCTGTCCCTCTTAGATATTTTCTTAGTTTTGTTTTCCTGATCTAGAAATTTTAAATGATATTTCAGTCAAGATAAATGATGGGATTACACTGAGTTCTTAGTAAAATTATTTTAGTAAGTCAGGGAAAACATACATACATACATACATACATACATACATACATACATACATATAGTAAATGCCTCAAAACAATTTATCTCAGTGGTTTTCATCCTTCCTAATGCAGTGACTCTTTAAAAATACAGTTCCTCATGTTGTGGTGTCCCCCAAGCATAAAATTATTTTCACTGCTACTATATAACTGTAATTTTGCTACTGTTATGTGTCAGAATGTAAGTTTCTGATATGAGATCTATGTGTAAGGGTCAGAAGACCCCACAAAGTAACCAAAGTAACGAGTTGAGAACCTCTGATTCATCTGCATGATCATGAAAATAAAAACAGGGTTGTAATGTTTATTCTTATTCCTGGACATACTGTGGTACTTCCTTGGCTTTTGAAAAATCTAAATTGAATTGACAAAAGGCACAGAACACGGTGGAGGAAACTGGAAGTCACAGAGTTACAGCTCTATTCATATTACCACTGTGACTTCCCCCCAACCCCTGTGCGCATGGCACCGGTCAGAGCCTACATCCTAACTCTTTTGTCTTTGACAGTTAATGTTTTGACTGGGAGCTTCTTGTCATGCACCACAACAGTGTTACATCTCTACAGCACTGACACTTTTACTACAGTTTGAAAAGTCTGAAAGCCTTGTTAGGTATGAGACTCACCGACATCACAGTACCAGCTAAAATCCTTGTGAAGGCTTACAAATTCTTATTCAAAATAAAATGCTTACGTAAGTTAGGATACATTCCTCACCTGTCAGATTAAAATTTGGTGCAATCGTGCTGTCAGCCAGGGTAAACCAGATCAGGCCAAGGCTCATGCATACTGCAGCAGACACATCTGCAAGGTTGTAACGCTTTCCTATGTAAGACAAAAGGAAGCCTGCCTCATTATGCAAATATTCACCCAGCCTGCTGTCAGATCATAGTGCCTCACCAAGCAGTAGAAGGATATGGTATTCATGTCTAATGCCCCAAACATAAGGGACACTCACATCAAGGCACACCAGCAATGCCAGGAGGGTTAAGATTAAAGCAGGCACCACGTGTTCTTTTAAGATAGAAATGAGATCTTATTTTATCTATTATGACAGGAAAACAAGACAAAAAACAAAACCACACACATGCACCACTTAATGGAGGGGGGGTACACCCTGAAAGTGCACCTGAGGGGGATCTTCTTCTTGTCTGATGTCATCAGGACACCTACTCAGACTGAGATGGCTATGATGTCACTGGGCAATGTGATCTCATGGAAGCATATACATACATAGTCTACTGGTGACCAAGGCTTCCTTATACAGTGCATGACTGCAATTTTGTGAAAGCTGACAAAAGTAAAAGGTATACTCCACAATTTTCACTATTTGTAGAAATGAGTACGTCTTTTATCTAATGTGTAATAAAAGGCTACAGATTTTCCTGTAGTTTGTAAGTTTACCAAGGGAAGAGACTAATGGTTCTGGCTATATTAAATACCATTTCAGTTTATAAATACTGTGTGAAGACTGTTAGGCAGGGGAGAATTCACTCATTTTCCTCTATCTAATGTATTCTAACTTCTGGTAAAAAAAAGTCTAAGGAAATCTATGTGCCTAGTTAGAATTTTTAATAAAGACCTCGTGGTTTTTTTTGTTTTTGTTTTTTTTCCATATGAACAACTATCCTCAAGTGTTCAGTGAGTGGGCTGACACACTGCCACTGTAAAAGGTCAACCCCAGGAAGGCATCTTGATGCACACACTGAGAGCAGGCTGCTCTAGCCCTAGTGACGGGAAGAACCCCAAGACAGAGACCAGGCAACAACTTCCTCCCACGCTTGCTGCTCCAACTGCCTCTTCTTTCTAACCAGCTCTACCCAGATGGAGTCTAAATCATCATAGCTGGAGCAGTCAGAGAAGAAGTGGATGTACTCAGACAGGCTTCACTGTATGGGTGTGGCACTGTGGGATGCATTAGCTTCCAAGATAAGATAATAAAGCAAGACACTGGCTTTTCTCTCTTACGTCCAAATTATGAACCTCAAATACTACAGTATGTTAGAGGAATACAAATGTTGTTTATGACCTCCTATGTTTACCAGATGCTGTATTATCACAATGTCTAGAGTGCTCAATAACAGTATTGTGGACATTTGCTTTTTTTCCTAATGCCAGATGCCACAACACAGCTGCACGCTTCAAACAGTATAAAACATGTCATTACTGTACCTTGAATAAAAACTCCTCCTAGCATAACAGGAATCAGTTTGCAGCACTTGAAGATGACTTGGGTGGGGTAATTCAGGTAGCCCAAGGAAGTGTTTGATAAGCCCATAGTACCCACAGTTAGAAAAGCTATTATCATGTAGGTTTTTCCTGGTATTCTGGAAGAGACAATTTGTAAAACCTTCATTGTGGGACTTGGTTTCATAGAACTTTAGATGGCTTACAACGTGCTTCCCTATTTCTGGTTAATGTTTCTGGAAATATACATTTAAAAAAATCATTCTTTTCAAGTTATAACACCGTTTACTTGTACACTGACAAAAATCACAATATACTTTCACTAAATCATCAACGAGGAATCTCAACTGTATAACAGTAACAGACTTACTGAGATTCTAGCTGATGTATAAATGCTGATCAAAGATTTTCTTACAGTAGCTCTAGGTATAGATAAAATCTATCTTGATTTAATTTGCAAAAAAGAAAGGATTAAAAAACTATGGGCCTCTACAAAGGTAAAAAGGCCCCAATCACTAATTATAAACTAACTTTTACATTGCTTTTGCTTCCTAACTTCTCCATCCAGCATTAGGAAAAAAATGTAACCACCAGAACAAAGAACTTCTCTAGAGAAAGCTACGGCTTCACAACTTCAGGCATGATTGTTAGCACAGTATTTTATAAACCACCTCTTCTTTTTCCATGTTATAATTATCAGCTTCAGGTAAAGTTTCTGATGCTGTCTTTGTAACCTTTAAATTTTTAACTTTGACTCTACCAGGGTTTCCTGAAGGAGATTCTGAATTTGGTATCTTTACAAAGTATGGGCATATACTCACTCTGAGTAGTTACTAATGGCTTATCGTAATAATCTGGCACACTGTCTAATGGACACAAACAGACAAAAGTCATGTAATTTGATTATGCTGTGTACTTAGATGTAACCTACCTACATTTAGGCATTTGTATCAGCATTTAAATCTGGCACAAAGGCACACAATTCCCAATTCCTCCAAGTTTTTTCTTTCTTTCTTTCTTTCTTTCTTTCTTTCTTTCTTTCTTTCCTTCCTTCCTTCCTTCCTTCCTTCCTTCCTTCCTTCCCTCCCTCCCTCCCTCCTTCTCTCTCTCCCCTCTTTCTTCTTTTTTTTTTGTGGGACAGGACCTTTAGCTCAGGCTAGCCTCAAATTCCATATATAACTGAGGAAAATCTTGAGCTTTCTGATCTACTACCCAAGTGCTGGGTTGACAAGCATGTGCCACCAAGCCTGGTTATGTGTGATGTTGATAGAACCCATGGCCTTATATATGCTAGGCAAAGACCCTACCAACTGAGCTACATCCCCAACTCTCTACATCTTTTATATGGGTATATATACACTAAAATAACTTGATGGAAAAATTCTATTGAAATGCATTATTTACCCTTTCTTTTTTTTTTTTTTTTTGTTTTTCGAGACAGGGTTTCTCTGTGTAGCTTTGGAGCCTATCCTGGCACTCGTTCTGGAGACCAGGCTGGCCTGGAACTCACAGAGATCCGCCTGCTTCTGCCTCCCAAGTGCTGGGATTAAAGGCATGGGCCACCAAAGCCCGGCGACTTATTACCCTTTCAAGTTTGAGGTTTTTCCTACCTCAGTACTAATGTAGGAGGCAACTCTTAAAATCCACTGCCAATAACTGGCCTGCCCATAGGGTGTCCTTCAATTACTATAACTCAGTGTCCCAGAATCTGACCAATCACTGTCCTTACCAATGAATGGGGAAACATCACTTTCCTAGCCTTGGATAAAAGCTAGTCATCAAATTTCCTCAAAGATAAACTGTAAACAGTGGTAGCCAGAAAGCCAAAATTCCAGTCAGCAAACTTATAAGGAATGGCTATGAAAGCAGGATACAGGCAGAGAGGAGTTGTCCTGACTCTCAGGGCCTCAGGGGGCCAACCCCCAGAGGAACTTGTTACATGACCTTATAAAAATGTCAGTTCTCCCCCAGGTCCTGTTTCCTCATGGGTGATGAGGAAGCTTCATTTCATCAGCCTGTCTCCTGGATTCTGGAGTTTATATTTTATTTAGTTCCTCAATACTTCTTCAAAAAATGGTGGGGAAAAATGCAATTTAAAATAAAGTCCTTCCACTTAAGCTCATATATTTCCTGAATCCCAAACACAGGCAATGGCTAAAAAGGTGTTACTTGGTGAAGGATAGCACATGTTCTGAGCTTTGGAGCTGCCATGTTACTCCCAAATCACACTCTCAAGCAAGCCCAGAGTTCAGAGACTCTCCAGGTCTTGACAGAGCCAATGAGAGGCAGCGCCCAAACCCATGACCTTTAAATTCTAAATCTTGTGCTGATGCTAACATATCACCACTTACACAGACCCAGGCAGAGAAAACAACTAAGCAGAGTGTAGGTCAGAGGCTAAAGGGAGTAACAACAGTCAGGGAAATTTGAAGTCAAGTACATTAAAGACAAGGAACTCGGTGGCTGGATGAAGCTCTAAACACTTCAAGACAATGTACCTTGTAAAGAAATGGCTTCAGTTCACAACTACTGATTTTAAGTCTATAGAGATTCATCTTTCAAAATCTTTCTATGTTTAAATCAAATGCAATTTATTTATTTTTTCAAATATTTTATGGTCACATAGCTAGGAAGCTGAGATAACCTAGCCCCGCAGCACACTTCGTCTGGCTGGCTGATACTGAGATGTTTCCTCCTCAAACTCAACTTCAGGAGCTATACCCTGATATGACTTGCACTCTGAAGCAGCCGTTTCCAAGAAAATGGATCATTGGCCCTCACTATTAGTCTTAGCAATGATATTTACTTACTTTCTAGTCCATCACCCATGTTTTATCTTGTAGTTTTAGAGCACAAAAAAGTAATAGAGATGATATTCTCACACTTGAGTAACTGTAACAGCTGTAAAAATTTACCAACAATAGAATTTGGGAAACAAAATTAAATCTATAAAGAAATTTGTTACATTCTTCTAGTAAGCGGATTTAAATATTTGAAGTTGAATAGTTACCTATGTATATATTTCAAAAACAATTCTGTAGAAAAATAACAAGCTATGATTTTTGAGGCATTAAACGTTTATACAAAAGATGGAGTGTCAGTATTGTCTTTATTATCCTTTAACTGCCCCAGATACATGACTATATGCATCCTACACTCAATGAAAGGATGAACATGCTTCATGTACTCCCAAACTGCAAGCCCACATTCCTAACTACCTTCTGTTTATGGTCACAGTATAACTGTATTTTGTTTTATATGCCATTAAAGATAACCAAAGTATTTTTTCCAAATCTATATGGTTACTAATTTAAAAGATTTTCAAATTAACAAAAAGAAATTCGTTCCTCCAGTACTTAGGAACACAGATCCCCAAACTAAGACAAGAATGTAGTAAATGGACTTGTAGTCTAAAGGGAAGCTGACAGGTTGGGAGAGAGATGAGGGTGGGCAGGGTGAGATTATGTATGCTTGTGGGAAACTGCCAAAGAACAAATTGTATCAATTAAAAGAACAGACACCTTGGACTTTCAGGTAAGGCAGCCGCCTCCACACGACTTAGTGAAGAAACAGCTATATAAAAGATTGTATTTCAAGACAGTGGATACACCAACAGGAGCAGAGCTAAGACTAACAGCTCTGGCTGCTGTCTGGTGGGGGTAGGGTGGGGTGCAAAGGGAAGTCAGTCCTGGTGAAGACACAGTTTTACCCCTGGGACAAGGCACAAAGAGCCTCCAATTCAGTGGTGGGTTTTGGTGAGACTTATGTCTCAGGCAGATGGGTCGGTGCTGGAGAGGAACCTACTCTGAGGGCAGTGCCTGGGCACCAATCTGAGGGAACCCGACTGTTTAAAACTTATCTACTTGGGGTGGCAAAAAACAAACAACAACAACAACAAAAAAAACAAAAACAAAAAAAAAAACAAAAAAACGAGACAAGCCAGAGAGCCTGTGTAGGACCTGAGAACTCTGAAGGCCCAGGAGGCTGCCTGGGGGCCACAGCTGCACCCCTCCATGAGGGTGATGATCACTCAAGTGGTGCTTTGTCCGAATGGGTATCAGTGCTGTTTGTGCCACACTCCCTGAGCCCCCTCCAAACAGAGTTTCCGTGACACCAGGGGTACCTATGTAAGGGGTCACAGGAGGAAAGTGTCTGCCCAGCCCATAATTGCAGAGATTCTGCTATACAGACGAGACTGCAAACTGTACTCTGAGACTTGTTCAATACCACACAAACCACAGCAAAGACAGGGCCACAAGGCCACTAGCCTCTCTGCCAGCAAAAACTGGCAGGACCCACATGGCTGCATCCTTTGTTCCCCAAGCTTCTCTTTCTTGGGTATAATTAGTAGTAGTTTTTACTTTATTGTATTAAAAACAGATCTATGTTTTCACTTTTCTCTTTCATACATTCATCTAATTCTGTCTACCCTTTTTATTTTCTTTGCTAGGCAAGCGTTTTTTTCTTTTTTTTTTTCTCTTTATGCCTCTTACATTTTCCCTCCATTCCTTTTAGTAACACTCTAACCTTAGTTTGTTTGTTTATTTATTTATTTATTTATTTGTGTTCTTGAGACATGGTTTTCTCTAACAGTCCTGGCTGCTCTGAAAGTCGCTTTGTAGATGATGGTGGCCTAGAATTTACAGAGATCCACCTGCCTCTGCGTCTGAGTGCTGGGATTAAAGGTGTGTTGCCACCACACCTGGCTTGACCTTATTTTAGAAAACAAACAAACCCGTTTATTTATTTTTTTTTCTGTTTCCTAAAATAGGTCTAATTTTGTTTTTGAACTTTCTCATTATAGGAAAATTTTGTTTATTGGCTTTTAATTTTTTGTTTTTCTCTTTCCTTTTTTAATACTCATCTATTCTTTTTCCTTCATTTATTTACCTGTTTCTTCTCTATTGTTCCTCCTCCTCATGCCTCTTCCATCGCACTCATTCACTATTTCCAAATGTATTACCATCACTTTTAACATTACAGCACATTCTACATTAGTTTTGGTCATTTTTTGTTTATGTTATTAATATTATTATTATTTTACCTTTTTCAATTGTACTGGGGATTGAGCCTTCAAGAAAAGGAATTGGAAGGGATACCCCAACCAAGAGATGTGTAAACAGCTACAAAGAACACACACACACACACACACACACACACACACATACTCAGAGAGAGAGAGAGGCATGTGACTTCAAAAGATTCTACTCAATTATTGAACTCAGTAATACTACTGAAATGGTGAAATGTTGAAAAGACACCTAGAGTGTATTAGTAAAAAAGATAAGTGACCTTAAAGAACCCACACACAGGCAGCAGGATAAAACCCAGGACTTGAAGTCAGCAATGCAGAAAGAGTTAAAAAAAAAAAAATAAGGGGGGTGGGGGGATGAGAAACTGTAATGTGGATGAAAAGCTGGGCAAAGGGGAAAATTAAGGAAATTGAGATTTTGAAAAAAAAGTTGGAAACAAAAAATTTCAACGAATCAAAAGCACAATTGGAAGCATCACGAAGAGACTTGATCAAGTAGAAAAAAAAGTTTCAGGGATGCTACATTCAAATATTGTTAAAGAAAACAATAAAGGGGTATAACCCCAAAGTCAAAGCACTCTGGAACCTAAGAAAGGGACCAAACAAAGAACCTTGGGTAGAAGCTGAGTTAAGAATGACAGGCAAGAAGCCTGTAAAATCATAGCAGAAAATCTCATAGGTCTAGAGAAAGAAATGGGCATCCAAACACGGAAGGTCAGAGTTCCAAATAGACATGACCAGAGAAGAATGTCTCCATGGCATATAAAAATACAATGAACAAAGAGGAAAACTTTAGTTCACATACAGAAATCCAAACATCGGAGTAACATCAGATCTCTCTCATCAGCAACTTCAGCCCAGGAAACCATGGAATGACACAGTTTAAGCCTGCTGACCAAGTTGCTATATTCGACAGCATTATCATTGCAAACTGATAAAAACTGTAAATATTTGAAGGTCGGCACAAATTAAGGCACTTCATGACCACCAGTTTAGTATTCCAGAAGACACTTAAAGGAGTACTCAACACAGAGGAAGATGAAAAAACAGTCTCAAACAGGAGACAATAATAAAGCATGACTTTCATGAGAGGAACAGACAATAAGGAGAGCTCAGAAGCAATCCACCATGCCCAATGCAGTAAACCTAACCGCAGGGAGAAAGAATAAACAACAATGTAAGCACAGAATTACAGTAATTAGTAAACAATTTCCAAAGATAAATGACCTCAAGTGTAGATGACTTCAACTCAACAATGAAGAGATGCAAACTAGCTGATAATATTAAAATCTAAATCTAGCTGATGTTTCCAAGAAACATCTCTCTGGAAGATACCCAACAGAGAGTCAAAGGATAGAAGTAGACCTACCAAGCAAATGGAAACTGAATATAAGCTGGCGTAGCTTTTTGGTAGTTGATAACTTCAAATCCAATTAAGATATAAGTAATAAAGGGCAGCATATAGTAATAAAACAGTTATAAATATTGTAAATAAGAATGCCCCAAACACTGTGTTTCATGATTTCATATAAATATTAACAGACATGAAAGTCACTTAAGTGTGAATACAATATAGTGGGAGGTTTTATAGCCAATTCTCATCTTTAGAAAAGTCATTCAAACTAAAAATCTACAAGGAAACTTTAAACTATAACATTGGTGAATGGATTTAACAGACATAGTAGCTTCATATCCCAGATGAAGGGCTGGCTCAATATACACAAATCAATGCAATTCATCACATAAATAATCTTAAGGACAGAAATCACAAGATAGTCTCAATATATGGAGAAACCATCACAGACAAAGTTCAATACCCCTTTGTGATTGAAACGCTTAAGAAACTAGGAATAGAAAATGTCTACATCAAGAAATTCAAGTCTCCAGATGGTAAACCTATATACTCAAAGTGCTCAAAATCTTAGCTAAAGGGCCAGCAAGTGGCTGAGTGTGTAAACTGGCCTACTGTAAAGACTGAAAACCAGGACTCAGAGAGCAGTCAAAGAACTGACTCCTGAAAGGTGTCTTCAGACCTATTCTCACACATGCCCACATACATGCAGTGACACTCAAGCTTTCTCTTCCTTCCTCACCCCACAATGTCACATGCACTGCATTTTGAAAAACTAAAACAGCATATTCTTTATGTTAGAAAATAAAGAGAAAAAATAAAAAGTATACAAAGAGGAAAGAAAAAAGCCAAATCATAGTTGTGTACAGCATGATCCTATATTTAAGGAACTTAGAGGCACTACCAGATGATTTTTCTGATTGATTTTACATACTAAAACCAAGTTTACTAAGGAAGAAATGAAGAAAATCCACTTACAATAGTTTAAAACCAAAATAAAAACATGGAAATAACCAAGGAATAAACTTAACCAAGAGTTCATGAAAGACTGCTCTAATGATACTTGCAGACAATAAAGAAACGGAGGACACCAGACTGAGACAATCCTAAAAATCATTCACAAGCACAAAGGACCTCAAAGCACACCTAATAGAAAGTACAATGCACTATAGAGCCATATTGATAAAAAAGTATGATGGTGGACCCCCAGCAGATATAGACCAACAGAATAGAAGATCTACAGAGAAACTCACACAGCTACATACAACATAAAATAGGAAAAGACAGCTGCTATCAACACACAGTGCTGGGAAAGTGGACACTCATGTAGAGCCAGAGCCATTACTCACACTGCATAAAAATGAATTAAAAAACAGGCCAAAGATCTTAATATAAGACTTAATGCCCCGGCTGTGGCGATGCATGCCTTTATAGTCCCAGCACTTGGGAGGCAGAGACAGGTGGATCTCTGTGAGTTTGATTGAGGCCAGCCTGGTCTACTGAGTGAGTTCCAGGACAGACTACAAAGAAACCTTGTCTCAGAAGGAAAAAAGAAAGAAAGAAAAGAAAAGAAAGAAAGAAAGAAAGAAAGAAAGAAAGAAAGAAAGATAGACTAATGCTCTTAAATTATTAGGGGGAAAGCACTTCAAGATACAGGCATGGCCAGAGACATAACTAAAAGTACTCCAGAAGTGAAGGAGAATCCCAAGAACATACCAACTATATCATAGAAAATTGAAAACCTTCTGCTCAGCAAAGAAAACACCAAATGAAGATGCAAAAGTCTTTGCTAACTATACACTAGACAGGTGATTAATATTGAAAATATATTACCCCCTCCCAAATTAAAAACCATAACAAAAATCATGCAGTCAAGAAATGGGCTAAGAGACTGAATACAAAATTTTCAAGAGTAAAGGTCAATGGCCAGGAGATATTTGGAAACATGGGCAACATCCCTAGCCATCAAGGAAATGCAAATTCAATCTGCATTGAGATTCTACTTCAATCCAGTCAGAATGGTTATCACAAAGAAAACACAACACATGGCAATACATTTCTGGAGGGGATGAGGGGAAAGAGGAATGTTTATACCCTGCTGGTGGGAATAAAAACTGGTGCCACCACTATGGAAATTAGGAAGGGGTTTTCTAAAAAACTAAAGAATAGTATCATAGCACATGGCCCAGTTATGCCATTCCTCATGTACTGAACAGATGACACACCACAGACAGATTTGCATATCCAAGGCTACTGCTTTACTATTCTCCACAGCCAGGGGAGCGAGTTAGCCCAGATGTCTAACAACCTAGGAATAGATGAGGAAACAAGGTGTGTCTACATAATGGAGCTTTATTTAGCCATGAAGAGAAACACAATCCTGACATCTGCAAGGAAATGAACAGAGCTGGAATTCATGATGTTAAATGAACTAAAATCATAAAGAGATAGTCATATGCCCCCTCCCACACACACAGGGTACCCAAATTTATGTATATTAAACTTATGAGGAAGTACTTGAAATTAGAAAGTGGACGATAGGGAAGAAGGAAGAGAGGAGAGGGTAATCAAACACCTGTGACGTCATGAAACCAGGTATGGGGACTACCTATGGGAAGGGAACAGCAAGAGTGGGACAGGTAAGATGTGGGCTGCAGTGTAGGAGGGTATGATCCAGAACACCATACGATGACACATGTACATGAGAATGCCATACTGGATCCCTACTACTAACTCATTAAAACAAAACAAAACAAAACAAAACAAAAAAGCCAGATCTCAACTACTAGACATTTTGTGACAATGTCAGGAGATATGGCCCATGAAACATTAACTTGACACTTCAAAAACTATTAGAAAACTTGACACTGGCCTTTCGCTTACCTACTGTGATGTTGGTACATTTTAAATCTTTCATTAGTCCTGCCTTGGTCACTTCGTGATAATGTGTTATCTGAGCTCTGGGGGAATGTGCCCAACCATGAATTGAACCAATGTTCTCTTTAACGTTGTGACATGGCATTTAAAGGGGGAATTTACTTTTTTACAGGCCATAAAGGAAATAGATTTATTATCTTAAGCGAGTAGTTTACACTGATAAAAACTCATGGTCAGATGCTAGCAGGAAATGTAGAATCTTGCACAGTCGCATGCTGACCCCTCCTCCCCCAGCCCCAGATCCAACTGATGCAGATAAGCACATCACATACCTTCTCCTTTTGTCCTGAATGAGCTGAAGTTCTATTAGGCCAAATATTGAGTAGAATGCAAATTGCACTAAGGTAAGGTACCAGCCATAGGGCTTAAAGCCTTCCATTGAAAATATCAACTCCTGTAAGAAGACAATGAACGCTGTTAAATTCAAGGTGGAGACTGACTTTCAGTCCATGGCTATGTGTCCATTTTACAAGTAAGCAAGCCATACTACATTCAACCCCAACACACTCACATCAAATCACTAGACTTCATAAGACGACTTAGGCATGAAAATCAACAGAGCAGTAACTAAACTGCAATGTCTTCTGCTTCTTTGTTAAAAACATAAAAAAAAAAGACCAAAATTAAAGCTGCCCCTAACAAAATAGGTGGTCAATTCAAGAACTCACACAAAAAGCTTATTTCACTAAGAGCCAGGCATCTACAAGCTGGTTTTTTATAGGGATAGTTCCTATTACAGCATTTTCAAAAACTATGTATCACAGATTGTATAATAATCTTCCTTGTATAGGGGATACTTTATTTCCCTAAACACAGAGTGTGTACATTTCTCTCTTTTTTTGAGACAGAGTTTCATGTAATCCAGGCTAACTTCACACTCACTCTTAACCTACAGTGACACTGAACTTCTGTTCTTCCTGTCTGTGTCCACAGTGCTAAAATCCTAAGCACATGTCGCCATCCTGCTTATGCAGTGTTGGGAAATGAACCCAGGGCTTAGTGCCTGCTAGGCAAACATTACTGAAAGAGCTAAATTCCCAGCTCCTAAACATAATAGTATGAAGAAACATGTACATTTAATTACTAATCAGCCATTTTAACAAGTCATTAAAAAGTATTCTACAAGTGTTATATGGTTTACTTTTAATTGAATGAACTGAACTTTCCACCCTGTATGGGTGGGGATGGATAAAGTAGGTCCTATCCACTTTTTATTAACTACTTTGATGTACAATTACAAAGAGTTAGAAACCACATTAAGTGCTCACAAAGTCAAAGTAGAAAAGCTAGTTTGAAGGACTTATGCAACTAAAAACTTTACATATCTGCTTTGGATGGAAATCTGTTAATTATTCAAATAGTAAAACTGCAGCCAATAACAGTTATAGACTACACAGGGAGAGAGTGAATTCCTAAGTAAATGTATATTGCTGAGATGGGCATGGCCTTGTCAAAGACCCAGATGCCTCAACCTCACAGGAGTGCCAAAGCCTTCCCCAGGTGATAGCTCAGGGGAGTGGTAAAGCCTTCCTTTGCTCCAACTACAAATGTTGACAGTATATACAGAAATGTTCACCTTAGCTCTCTCCCTAAGCCCAACATGACCACTGCCTGAAGATAGCTCCCCTACAGAGAATGCTTCTACCAGGACTTGGCTGAACCTGTGTTCAGCTGTGTATCTTAGACCCAGCCTCCTTGTCCAAGCTGCATGTAATACCCCACCTCCCTGTTCAATCCTGTATAACATGCTGAGCTTCCAGGGTGCTGTGGCTTCTTCTTCAGAGACCCCAGTACACCCAATCCCAGATTTTCTGTGTCCATGTGTTTGTCACGTCTTCATCCCCTCACTATCTCAGTCAGGTAAGGCCCTGCAGCCTTGCAAAGCCTGGCAACGTAGCTTCATTATTTTCCTTTGCAATGGCTACCTGTGCCTCCAAGTTATTTGTAATAGAGGCATTTTGAAGGGAAGAAAATGCTTAACAAGAAAAATTCCAATCCCTATTTATAACTGCTGATATGTTGCTTTTTTTATTTTAATGATCCTCTATCTGGGACTCAAGTTACAAATCATACTCTACAGTATTCTTTTTTAATTTATTTACTTATTTTTATTACATATACAGTGTTCTGTCTGCATATTTGCCTGCACACCAGAAAAGGGCACCAGATCTTATGATAGGTGGTTGTGAGCCACCATGTGGTTGCTGGGAATTGAACTCAGGACCTCTGGAAGAGCAGTCCAGTGCTCTTAAACTCTGAGCCATCTCTCCAGCCCCCATACTCTACAGTATTTTTACATAATGTTCTTCATGACATTCTTGTAGGATAGCTAAAAAGAAAGTCAAAATTTTCCTTGTCTTTATCTATGTAAAGCATCTCTGTAAGATAAATGGACAGAAAGATGTTTTATGAGAATTTCATGAAGGAGTAAGGTCAAATGAACACTAACAGTTTGTGTCCCCTCTTGAATTACTGAGGTTCTCAGATATGATGTAGTTGAATTAACAACTAAGGTGCTGATGGTTAAAAATATGTATCAAGTCAATGCACATTAATAACACTGGGTGTCAATCAAGCACAAATGTTCACAATGGACTGAACCTTCACCCATCCAGTCATGGTTTTGAAAGTCAGGAATTTGCTGGTGGCCAAAGGTATACAACCACCTCCAGCTACAGAGCAAACACAGGCTATTGCAATGTTACAGTGAAAAAAACTCACAGAAAAGTAAGATTATTGCAATAATGGATAAGAGAAACAAAACAAGAATGATTACAGTGTAGGCACCAGAAAAGGAGGGAAAAGAAAAGAATGACTCAGGCATCACAGGATTAGAAAGCTATATTTAAAAGAAATTAAAACGCCTTATAGTAGAGAGGGGAAAGGTAGAAAACATGTCATTTTCTTTCTTTTTTTTTTTTTTTTGCCAGATTTATTTTGTAAAAATGGTCTTTTGCACTAGGTGTGGTGATGAATTTCAATAATCCCAAGAACTGGAGGGATGAGGAAAGATTTTGAATATGAGGTTGGTCTGGGCTACAAAGAAAGACCCGTTCACAAGAAAACAAAACACAAGAAAACAAAATTAACCTTTTATCAGTGAAATCCAAGAATGAAGAGTAAACTGTGCTGTTTCCAACTTTATTGTAAAATGATCTTCCCAGACATGGACCGATGCTCGGCTCATTCTCTTTAAAAATCAGCCATGTGTGAATATGCTAGGTGGCTCGCTCAGAGATTAAAGGCACTCGCTGCTGCTCTTGCAGATGGCCCAGGTCCATTTCCTAGCATCTACACAGAAGCTCCCAACCTCTGCTAGCCCCAATTCCAGGGGATCCAATGCCCTACCTCCTCCAATTCCAGGGGATCCAATGCCCTACCTCCTCTGGCTTCCTGGGGCAACAAGCACACATGTGGTACACTTCCATATATGCAAGCAAAACACTCATACAAATAAAAAATAAGTGAATTAAGTCTTTAAAGATATGAACACACAGCTGCAATCACCTGTTTTATTAAATATTTATAAGTTTACTTTCATAACTTGAATTTTACAAGATAGCCTTCCTTTCCAACTTAAAATATTTAACTTCGTTGGTCTGACCTTTACTCTTAGTAGTCTTTTTAAGAGACTATTGTTCTACAAAAATCTCAAGCTTTGAGTCAACCGTTAGCCTGTAAATAAAAATATCATGGTGAAAACAAGTAGTCAAAACCAACATGGACATTAAGTGCTAAGATAACTAATACTATGATAAACAAAGGACTACTTTTTACCTGTAAGTATCCATAAATTAGGTAAAATACAAAAACTCCAGCAACACATATGAAAAACTGTGTGAGCTTGTTAAACTTGCTGAGGTTTATGCCCAGCACCACAATGTCGTCAACTGACTTGATGTGTGGTGACATTGTCTGGGTTTTGGAGGGCACAGTGATGGAGACATACTTCCTGGAATTGTTGAACTTGAGGTCCATTGTTTTTGCTTTGCCACATTCAAGGTCTGCAACCTTGTTTTTGCTGGTTTCCACTATTGGGTCCTGTCTTTCCTTTGGTGGCTGGGCCTAGGGAAGGGAATAAGCAGTTATGGCAAATTGCATAGTCTATGAAGTATCATATTCAAACAACCCAAAGTACACTATAAAATGTACAGATGCAGCTGAGTCACTCTATCAGTGTTACCTCCTACAACCCCACACAAGCAAATACAAGATCCCCACGCCCCAACCCATCCATCACTGAATAGCATCATATTCATCTCCATAGCAAACAAAACTAGGACTACACATGGTAGTATGTTTTTGTCATCTAGTACATATTTAATTCTACTAAAATAAAATGTAACATATTTTCAAATTATAACCAATCTTGTAGGAGAATAAAGAAAAGGTGATGCTTAAGGCTTGACAACCATACAATCTACTTGCTAGTTAAGCTATAAAACTAAAGCCAAACAGGTGTGAGATTTAGCAACAATACTGCTTAGGTTGAAAGAAAAAACTGCACGTAGCCCAGGCTTGCTAGGAAGGGAGAAGCCTCCTGCCTTGGTGTCTTAAGCACTACAGTTACAAAGCCTGAGCCACCAACCATGACTAAGAAGACTTTCTTTCCCTATGGAGAAAATGATTCAAATTTAAAGTCTTTGGAATGTAAAAGTCAGAAAAATGTCTTTTTTTTTACAGTAAAAAAAATTGTGAAGGCACCAGTGATGACTGTCAAGTCTCTCTTTGCATTTACTTAAGCTGACAATAATGAATTCCATGTAAACACTAAGGGAAGTGCAGAAATCATGGTAGCACACAGGAAGGAAGGAGGAAGGAAGGAAGGAAGGAAGGAAGGCAGGCAGGCAGGCAGGCAGGGGGGGAGGGAAGAAAGGAAGGAAGGAAGGAAGGACTGCTTTCTAGACAGTCTCACAGCTGGTACTCCAGCAAGCATAAATCCTGACTACAAGGGCAGGAGAGAACAATTTTCACTGTGGACTTCAGTCAAAAAATATCATAAAAGAAACTGTCATTTGAGTGTCCGAAATGACAAGAACTAGAGTCACCTCTCGGTGATTGTTTCTAGCTAGACATTAAGGAGACCTCATTAGTCACAGCAATGGGAGCAAGGCGCTATGGACAATCACCACTATTGATATGCAGGCACGAAAACATTTATTCTGTGGGACACTTGCCCTATGTCTAAACTTTTATAAGTACTTTTATTGTTTGTGTTCCTTTTTCTTCTTTATTCTGGCTTTCCTTGGTGTGTCTCAATCACTGTTATCTCCTTACAGTTTTCAGGATAAGCCATGTTTTAAATTGCCCTTCTCCCATTGTTCTGTGTTTCAGTGTCGAGAAAAAAATGCTCTCGCTTTCTATGCTAGGCACAGCAACAGCACACGGGGCATTAAATAAATGTAGGTTCTGAACTCCTTTTTCTTGATTTCTTTCAATGAAATGCCTAACCACTCAGTCATTCCTGAGGACAGGAGACTTCTAAATATCCCGTGTACTGTTGGTGTCCTTTCCGCTTGATGCTTTCTTTCTTTGGGTCATGTTTAAGTTCAGGGTTGACATTCCTTTGTGACACTGTTGGGGAATATTATTTTAAGGTGTGTCACATTTGTTTATGCTCCAGAAACATTTGTTTAAAGATATGTGACTTTTGTTAATGCTGCATTTGTTTAACTCTGTGAAGCTGTGATTCTTTGCCTGTCCTAATAAAGAGCTGACTGTCAATAGTGAGACAGGAGAGAGAAATAGGTGGGGCTGGCAGGCAGAGAGTATAAACAGAAAGAGAAAGGAGGAAGAGGCAAGCAACAGGAGGACAAGGGGAGGAGGACATCAGGAACCAGTCACCCAGCCAGCCTCGGAGCAGGAGTCAAAGTAAGATATACAGAAGTAAGAAAAGGAAAAACCCAGAGGCAAAAGGAAGAGTGGTTAAGCTAAGAAAAGCTGGGAAGAAACAAGCCATGCTAAAGGTGGACATTCATAACTAAGAATAAGTCTGTGTGTGTGATTTATTTGGGAGCTGGGTGCTGGGTCCCCTAAAAATTCAAGAAAGAAAGAAGAAAACAACAGTCAAGAATGTAGTTCGATGTTTTACTGTTTGGGCTTTTTGGGGGGCACACCACCCGGATCTCAAGTTAATCACACACTGGCAACATATTCTTAGCTATGAATGCCCAGCCTTATCTTGGCTTGTTTCTTGTCAGCTTTTCTTAACTTCAATTATCCCATCTATCCTTGGCCTCAGGGCTTTTATCTTTATTCTTGTAGACCTTTTCTTTCCTTCTTATTCCATGTCTGCTGGTGGCTGTGTGACTGGCCCCTGAAGTGGTCCTTCCTCTCTCATTCCCAATCCTTTTTTCCCCCTCAGATTTCTTCTCATATTTATCCTCTCTGCCTGCCAGCCCCACCTATTCCTCTCTCCTGACCTGCTACTGGCCGTTCAGCTCTTTATTAGACCATCAGGTGTTTTAGACAGGCACAGTAACCTAGCTTCAGAGAGTTAAACAAATGCAACATAAACAAAAGTAACACACCTTAAAATAATATGCCCCAATATGACACCTTTCATTAATCCCTGTAAAAGATAAGGGCAAGACCCAAATGTTACCAATCTCTGCATCTTGGTATCTGGCATGGACTTTTTATCCATACCAGAAAACAAATTAATTGGCATGTGTAGGGAGACACTGTACATGGTCAGGCATACCTGAAGCCGGCTCGAGGCGGGGCTACAGTGTCTCCCTACAGGCATGTCTACTAGACAGGCCTCAAACTCCAGCTCACATCTGCCTCACTTGGATACATTTTTGAAAGAACCATGGTGCTGGCAAACTTGATCAGCAAAACTGAAAATCTGCAGTAGATAAGAACTGGGAGGAATGGAGATACTATAATGATACTATACTGAGGCCGACACGCATACACAGAGAATGAGTCTTGTAAAATCAATTCCCTACTTGTATTGACATCAGAATATTTCTCCAGAAGGCAATTCTTTCCCAGCATTGCCCTCTTCTGAAATGCTTCTAGTTAAATGCCAAGCACACAGTACCAATTCAACTACAGAGGACAGTACAAGAAAGTAGCCCCGTGGTTTGCAACTTTGAGGCCTGAACTATGATGCTACCTGAGGAGTCTTGGGCAGAGTATTCTCTCTGAGCTTTGGGTCCTGTATCTGTACTGGGAAAAGCTGAGTGTGCTGAGGAAAGAATTTTGCAGAATCTAAGAGATAAAGGTAGAAGTGCACAGCACACAGTATGTCAACCTGAGTGTATTAGCTTACATTATTCAGTTTTTCAGAAACGTCACTGGCATGGCCTGGTGTGCTGAAGCTGATTCAGCCTCCTGACCCGAAGGAAGAAACAGGGATCTGGATTTCCCACCTAGCTTGTTCTACAAATGGCACTTCCATCACCCGCTATGTGATGCCACAGCACGAGACAAAAACCTAAGACACTGAACTGAACGTCTATTGAGGGCTTCGACACACACGATCAACAACATTATTCCATTCCATTCTCTTCCAGCACTTTTTCACTCGTACACACTCCCCAGCAGCCTTATAGCTGCACATCTAGGATGTATGTGCAGATAAATACCTTCAGCAATACCTTTTTTTTAACGTGTGCAACACACTACTCATCTCTTCTGAATTTCCCATCAAGCACTTACGATGAACAAGGAAATGGATTCACTGTCATTGCTTAAGTGATGCCTGGGTATCACAAAACCTGCGCTTTAAAAGCCTGGCATTTAGTGTGCAGTTTTACAGGACCGACCAGCACATCACTAGTCAGACAGCATGACTGACAGCATGTTACTCTCAAACTGCAATCGCCTATGTTTGCGCTTCACGGGTTCCTAATATTAATAATTGATATTGTCATCTAAAGAATCAGAGCCAATGCTGGAGAGATGGCTCAGTGGTTAAGAATGCTTATTGTTCTTGCAGAGGGTTCCCAGCACCCATGTTAGGAAGCTTGCGATTGTCTTTATACCCACTCATGCATAGATGTACGTACACACACACACACACACACACACACACACACACACACACACACACTCACACTCATATAAATCTAAAAAAAGAAAAAAAAAGAAAGAAAGAAAGAACCTGGGACAAAGTCCTTATGTTTTAGGGGAAATGCCCAAACTTCATAGGGAATTTAATATCATCCTGGACTATGGAGATCTTGTCTCAAAAAAAAAAAAAATACCAAAAATACTACAACAAAAGCCCAAACCAAAGCTCAAGAATAGGATTAAAAGTAATGAAATAATCAATACCTTGCTTTGCTTTAGAAACTGAAATAACCTCTGAAACTAAGACAGGAAGAAATCATTAAAGTGGGTATCTGCCTTAAGAGGTCTGCCTTCTTAAACTCAACAACTTTAGCACACTGAAGGCAGAAATAACCGCTAAAATGGAATTAAAGGAAGTCCTTCCAGTCCTAAACAAAGATCAGAAACAGGTGATGTTGACTTACAATGACATAGAAATTATCTGAGCTTATTTCTTTAAAATCTGTGGGCAGATGCCACAGATCACAGGTGGAGGTCTGATGACAACTTGTGGGAAACTGGTTCTGTCCTTTCACTTTGTGGGTTCTGGGGACCACACTAGGTGGCAAGTGCTCTCAGGTGGTGAGCCTGAGACTTGCCTCAGCTTAGTCTCCATCTAGTTCTTTTTCAAACCTGAACGATGAAAGCTTTCTACTATAAAAAGGTGGAATGTGAAGAAAGCCTATCGTGTGCACAGCCTGGAAGAGACTGAACTCCACCCAGAACTTGCCACACTCGGGTGACACACCTGTCTTCATGTCTCCTTTGCACTCTGAATAAATTACAGGGTGTGGAATAGGATCATAAAGCAGAAAACAAGATTTTGATATCGTCTATACCTCATCTCACAAAGTGTAAGAGACTGGTGATTTCTGAAACTTTCCTCCTCAAGTGCTAAAATTAGGATTTAATTTATACATTAAGTAGAAGTAATGCCAACTAAAAGATTTTCGAACGCTGGCAGAGTCTTCCCCCCACCCCCAAGTCCCAAACTATTTCAACTCACTTCTAAGAAAAACATTAACTAAAATTCCGGGCTCTGATAATCTACTGTACAAGAAATGTAGATGTCGTTTTTAAAAATGCAGAAAAAAAAACAAAACAAAAAGCCTAACTCTTGTTAGCATACCAACAAAATCTTTCAGTGTTTTTTTTTTTTTTCCTTGGGGGGGGTGATATGAGGAAGAGAATTCAGCTGCAAAGCCGGAAAGCACACACAGGGCTTTCAGGGATATAAAACTTAACAGCTCTGCAAGAACAGTCAGTCACTTCGTGGCAAGGCAAACAGGCGCCGAGCACCAGAGGTCCGGACACAGACCCGGAAGTGGCTCTGAACTGCAAAAACAGTCTGGGAAACGCGGGAGACCATCCAAACCCTAACAGCAGGCTAGGGGAGTCCTGCTGGTGGTTCTCACCTCCCGAGGGGAGGATGCTCGTCCCGGAAGCGCTCGCACCCGCTACCCCAACAGGTCCGCGTGCGCCCCGGCCACCCCGACAGCGGCGTCCACCGTCTTTGCCGACACGGTGTGGGGGTCCCACCCACCCCAGTCCCGCCAGACGGCACCTGGCCGCACGGCGAGGCCCCCTCCCAGCTCCGCCGCTGTCACCTCCTCCGCCTCCGCTCCTGCTCCGGCCCCGGCCACCGCGGCCGCCACCTCCCCGGAAGGTCTTCACACAGCCAGACCCCCGCGCACCACTTCCGCCTATGCGTCTTTGTGCGCATGCACAGGCGTGCGGCCCCGCCCCTCCGCCAGCCCTCCGGGGCCCCTACCTCTGGCGCATGCTCCTTGCTCTGTGGCTGGGCGAGCGAGCTGCTTCTGTCCATCTTGTGGGGGTCCACGACCCAGGTGACTTCACATCCGTGGCCGTGATGTGAAGGAGGCCACATTCAGAATGTTCGAACCGGAAGCAGCCTGTTTCCTCTCCCCAGCCCGCGACTTTTGATCCAAAGAAATGAGGTCGCTTCTCAACTCCTTCCCTGTCCCAGTCTCAGGACCCGTTCCTGCTCTTCTGGCCAAGATGGACCGAAGAAACAAACGCCTAGGGATCTTAACATCCCATGCCCTTTCAGTGATGATGGTTTGTAATTGGCCAGAAGTGTTACCGGGATTGTATTGAAGGGGCCACTCACTGCTTGAAACGTAAATCTCTACTTTGGAGTCTGACAAATATCATAACACTTACGATATTTGGAAAGCAAATATCATAAATTACCCCTCATTGAGAGCTACACCTACACTTACTGAGATACAATGAAAATACTAAGATGGTTTTGGTGACGAGGGTAATTATGTTTGCCATAACCGATCCAGTATTTGAGAGCCTGCTTTGGTAAAGAAAGGGGTGAATAGTTTCAACAGAAACGTTAGAATCCAATTAGTTATGACTGACTTACGTTTTAAAATTTCACCAGAATTATGCAGAAAGAGAAGCATTTGTGGCTTACGTGTTTTGGATGGGAGAATCCAGTTAAGACATTTTTAAAATGCCAGCCTTTTTAGGCCAGTGTTTTATGAATGTTGAAACTTAAAAAAATCCTAACGAGAGTAACAAAGCCCATCAAGTGATGTCATTTTGTTACTCAACAATAGCACATGGTACCAGTAAAACCCTATTACTGTTAGCTACTGAAGCAGCATATTTATCAAGCACCTGTTGAATGGGCATATGTGTAGGTTATATGCATAATTTATAAGTAGAGCTTCCCACTCTCAAGGAGTTACAGGTGAAAAGGTAAATGGTAATATAAATCTAGACTACGAGAGGTGTCAGTGTCCACCCACTTTGCCTGGGCAGTCATAGCAGCCTAACAGGGTTTTTTACTTCCTTTTTATTTCTAACTGCCACTGCTGAGCAGCCTAATTCTGCTCAGCAGTGGGAGTTAGTCTTTTAGGGTCTGATGCTGTTGTGCTGATGGTCCTTTAATGGCTTACCATCTCATTGAAATCCAACACCCTTCCCCATGGCTTGCAGCTTGTTCTTGATGGGTCATAGCCAAAAACCATTTCAGAGTTCATCTAGTCCCTGTCAAGCATTCACTGTTCCCTTGGTATGGTACACTGCCTTCAGATACTTCCACTGGGAACGAAAGTGAAGCATTGCCAGATGTTACCGTGGGAGTTTGGGGATGATGTTAATGAGAGGTTTGCAGCCCTGTTCACCAGTAGGAGCAAGGTGAATGCAGTTATGGCCAGCCACAAAGCTAGAGCAGAAACCCGGTTACCATTGCCTGTGGACTCATGAAAAATGCATATTCTTAATGTGAAGACAGATGTGCAGTCTCAGCATGTTGATTGCTTTGATTAACCACAAAACAAACAAAAGAACCAAGGAACGATCCCCCCAACCTCATGTGCCAAGGCGTCCCTTGGGGGAGAAGCAGGTCCCTTGACTCTTGATGAAGAACACTGTAATACCACTAACCAGGTACTTTCAGTAAGTGTTCAGCTCCCTAGGCACTTGGAGCTTTTTGCACAAGGACTTAATCTGTGGAAAGCAAATTACCAAGTCATGAGGGCAGTTTGGCACAGATTCTGAGTTGACACTGATGTTGAAGACTCAGAGTGGAGGCCAAGTGGTGAAAGGCATGCTGGCCATAGTCTGTCTCGCAGGATGTGCATGAGGTCTGTGGAATCCTTCAGGAATGAGTGGTATTCATCTATTTAACAACAGCATCTCTGATCTGTGCTGACTGATGATGATTGGAATGGGCAGGCAGAAGCTCTTGAAGTTATCTACTTCTTAGGGGCCAAGGTAGGAAATCAGATACTAATTGCACCTACAGGGAATTTGAGAAATTTCATTACTAGCCAAGCTTGAAAAATGTACAGAAGGTGTTCTCTTCTTCAGGGTGAGGGTCTGAAATCATATGCTAATTCTACTTAGGAATTTTTGAAGTGGCATTACCAACAAAGACTTTCAGAATGTAGGGATGTTGGCTTGCATTGTTTTGTCCTTTGCAGAAGTTAGGTAAAGCCACGAGGTATATTTGGTGGGCTCTGGTAAACAGTAGCTCTGATAGCAGCTGCTGTGAAATGTGTGAGGTTTTACTAGAATGCAAGTTTTATGTAGTTATTGAGCTGGCAGATGCCCCATTAGTAAAGTAGAACAAGATCAATTGGCTCCTTCATGAAAATAACTGGAGTACCATGCACCGACTGTCTCTAGGCTTGTATAAACTATCCTGCCTCCAGTTATGATTCAGTCCTGTGGGAATCGTGATTGACATGAAGGGTTACCTTCTTGTTTTTCTCTAGTGTCAGCATGCTAATTGGATCTAGAGAGGAGGCAAGAGCTAAGTGTCTGAGGAAGATGTATTTGTGAAATAGGATGGGAGAGAAAAACCTGTTTGAAGTCTGCCAATATTGTGGAAGTATGATTTGGAGCACGTTTTTGGTTTCTTTCTTTGGTTTCTTCTCAACCACTGATTTGAGACGGAACTGTGCAGGTAGCAGAGGTAGATTAAAAAAAAAAAAAGAGCCCAATACAAAGAAGCATGGAATTCCAGAGCTCATTAGGGAGGTTTTTACCCTTTGAAATGGATGTCATGTCATTAGGACTGAAATTTCAAAGAATGGACTTCCTGTAAAGATCAGTAGTTTGACTTAAAGGAATTGATACCACTCTTCAGATGAATTTCCTCCATTCACAGATCCTCTGCCTTCACTCCAAATACAATTTGCTGACAGATTGCCACTGACTGCAGAAAATTCTCATGGCCTCATGGCAAGAAGATGGCACAATGGGGCCTATGACTAAGGGATGCACTGGTCCTGTCATATATTACCACCCAGACGTCATTGGTCTAGCAGAGCCTTATAAGCACCAGCAACTTGCCTTCCCCAGGCCCAAAGACCTCAACAGGATGGAGATGCTTTTGTCTGAGATAGTTATAGAACCCATAGCTTGTACTCTCTAATAGCTAGAATAGTTGGAACCTGAGATCCAAAACTCAGAAAAGGTATTGGTCCTTCTCATTGTTCGTCCCAGTGACTCAGTGATAGAAGTTATGTTTCCTATTTTTCTGCTAGAGTAGTTCTGGTCTCCATGGAAACAGAAACAAACCATGCTGCCTCACAAGCACCTGGCCTGTATAGGTTAGAGGTCTGCAGACCAACTTACTCCCAACCACACTTTTCTCCCTGTGAGTGTCCCACCCGGATAAGTCAGACATCTCTGCTCTGCATTCTGCTGACCTCTGCTCACCCCAGGTCAGGATTCTTTATTTTTCCTTTACACAGTTCCACTGCTTTCTACCTATACCAGGCAAACAGGCTAAAGGACCGTGGACCTTGCATCCGCTGCCCCAATACACACTCTATCACTCTGCTTGCCCTGACTGGATAGGTTAGAGTCTCCCAACCCTATTGTCTTGTGTGCATTTCTGCCTCTCAGCATACTCATCCTGGTTACCCACATTAAAGATTTCAGGGCCTTCAGCCCAACCACAGTTTCCTCCATTGACACTTCCTCTCTTTCCAGTGCACACCTTTGCCACTGAGGGTGTGCCCCAACTGAGTGAGTAGACATAAAGCCCACCCATAACTGGCTAATGAGTACCACACCCTTTGAGCACCCTGGATCATAAAGTTAGAGGAAGCATGATCCCCAGTCCCTATACACGTTCCTACAACAACTTATGAAGCACACACCTTGAGGTCAGGATGCAACTCTCCCTGCACTGTTGTTTTTAATCTAGATTGTTCTGATTACCATTAAAGACTCTGGAGTCAGATGTTGGGGTGGAAACCTGCTGGATTGGAGAAGCCAAGAAGCAACCAGCTGATCTTCCTTTTTGTCTGGAGACCCACCAAGAGGTTGTCTCTCCATCTGTCCCAAACCCCAAAAGCCAGTGAATCTCTAAGTCCCTCTCTACTCTTTACTGTGCATCTCTCTATCCATCTTCCTGGGTCCTCTGAACTCTCTATGGCTAATTCTTGGCAACTAGTTGTGGGCTCCACCCCCTGATCCAAGGTTAATTTTTTAACCTAGTCTCAGAGTTTCACAGTGCAATCAAATATCCCACAACACTCCACATGCATTCACTGTGGTGATTGTGGCTTATGAATTCACAGGCCATGTCTCCCTAAGTAAGCCAAGATCACCCACAGCTGCTCCCATCCATGGTTCAACCCCAGGTCTCTCCATTTGTCCTGACCCACAGGACATCAGCCTGGGGCAAGAAAGTCAGGAATAGGGAATGGGGACAAGAGACACAGAAAGAACGACCACAAGACAGGATTCTGATCAAGTGGCAAACTTTATTTTTCTCAGGCTAGCTTATATAGTCAGCAGAGCAGAATATAGGGAGAGGTAGAATGGGTTGTTTGTGCACCAGGTAGGCAGGATATTAGTCACTGTGTGACTATAGGCCCAGAGTGACAGGGCAAGCAACTATGTACTAAAACCTTTGAAAACGTGCGAGAAAAACCTTTTATCTTTTTTCATTTTTTATTTGAATTAGAAACAAGATTGTTTTACATGTCAATCCCAGTTCCCACTCCCTCCCCTCCTCCCCTATCAGCCCCCAACTAACACCCTACCTATCACATATCCTTTCTGCTCCCCAGGGAGGGTGAGGCCTTCCATAGGGGGTCATAAGAATCTAACATATACTTTGGGATAGTGCGTAGACCCACCCCCGTATGTCTTGGCTCAGAGTGTATCCCTCTATGTGAATTGGTCTCCCAAGGTCCATGCCTATGCTAGGGATAAGTAC